AGTATGTGTACCCCGTCTCTTGCACAGTGACTGTTGGGTATGAGCATTGAGCACCAGTGACCCCAAAACCCATGAGGTTTTTATTTTATTTTTATTTTTTATTATTGTACTCAATTAATCCCCAAATCAGCCACTAGCGAGCACAAGCCAGTGTCTTGTGCTGGTCCCAAGCCTGGGTAAATGTTGAAGTTTGTGTCAGGAAGGGCATCTGACATAAAACACTTTTGCCAAAACTATAACGCAAGTTCATCAAAGCAAAACCATACCGGTTTGGTCAAGGCCCAGGTTATTAACGATCGCCACTGTTGCTGTTGACAAACAAGGTGCCAGTGGAAATTTTACTACTGTTAGTCAAAAATCACAAGGAGCAAAATGTGTCAGGAGACAGAGGGATAAGAGGAAAGAAAATAATAAAGGACAGAGGGTTGCAACTCTAAATGTGGGAACAATGACAGGCAAAGGTAGAGAGGTGGCTGACGTGATGCAGAGAAGGAAGGTAGATGTTTTATGTGTCCAAGAGACCAAGTGGAAGGGCAGCAAGGCTCACAGCATTGGAGCAGGATTCAAACTGTTTTACCATGGTGTGGAACGAGAAATGGAGTAGGGGTGGTTCTAAAGGAGGAGTTGACAAAGAATGTAGTAGAGGTGAAGAGAGTGTCAGATAGGGTGATGTGCCTGAAGGTAGAAATAGAAGGTCTGATGCCAAATGTTGTCAGTGGTTATGCTCCACAGGTTGGATATGATGTGGAGGAGAAAGATACATTTTGGAAGGCTCTGGATGAAGTAATAGAGAGTATTCCCAGGGAGCAGAGAGTGGTGATCGGAGCAGACTTGAGTGGACATGTTGGTGAAGGAAACTGAGGGGATGAGGAAGTGATGGGTAGGTTTGGTGTCAAGGAAAGAAACCAGGAAGGACAGATGGTGGTGGATGTTTCCAAGAGAATGGGAATGGCTATAGTCAACACCTATTTCCAAAAGAGGGAGGAACATAGAGTGACCTATAAGAGTGGAGGAAGGAGTACGCAGGTCGACTATACTCTGTGTAGAAGAGGAAACCTGAGGGAGATTGGAGACTGTAAGGTTGTGGCAGGGGAGAGTGTGGCCAGATGGCATCAGATGGTTGTGTGTAGAATGACTGTTGTTGTGAAGAAGAGGAAAAAGTAAAATCAGAGAAGACCAAATGGTGAAAGCTGAAGATGGAAGGATGTTGTGAGAAATTCAGAGAGGAGCTGTTAAAGGCTCAGGGGGGTAAGAAAGAGTTTCCAAATGACTGTATACTACAGCAACAGTAATTAGAGAGACAGGTAGGAAGGTACTTGGTGTGTCATCTCGACAGAGAATGGATGATAAGGAAACCTGGTGGTGGAATAATGAAGTGCAGGACATTGTTCAAAGAAAGATGTTAGCCAAGAAGAAATATGACAGTAAGAGGACTGAAGAGAGGAGAAAGGAATATAAGGAGATGCAACATAGAGCAAAGATGTAGGTGGCAAAGGCAAAGCAGAAGGCGTATGATGAGTTGTATGGGAGGCTGGACACTAAAGAGGACGAGAAGGACTTGTACTGATTGGTGAGACAAAGGGATCAGGCTGGAAAGGATGTGCGGTAGGTTAGGCTTGTTAAAGATGGGAATGGTAATGTTCTAAAAAGTGAGGAGGGTGCGATGGGAAGATGGAAGGAGTACTTTGAGGAAGTAATGAATGAAGAGAATGAAAGAGAAAAAGAGCATAGGTCATAGAACTGTGGCCCAGGAAGGAGGGGCAAGATTGTGGATAGCTTTGAAAGTGAGAAGAATTTTGTTTTTCATTCAACCTTTATTTAGACACATTAATCCCATTGAGCCTCGAGGACTCATTTACAAGAGAGACCTGATTTCAACAAAGAATGATGACAACAATGGACAACAACGACAACAATAGACAGTTATAAAAAGGCATACAGATTTTTTAAATACAAATAAGATGGCCAAAAAAGTAACAAAAACAGCTAGATTATAAGGCGAATGTAACTAAAAACAGGAACATGTCTGCGTTGGTTCTTGCCAGGAACTTAACAGATGTTTGAAGCCACTTAGAGATCAAGGTCGAGAGCTTCAGGTCTTTTTGTAAGATATTCCAGGAAACAGGAGCAGAGTAGGAGAAGGCCCTTTTGCCAAGTTCAGTCCTCATTGAGGGAACACTGCAGGTAATAATGTCCTGAGAGTGCACGCTGTAGCTGCACTCACGCAGAGACATGTAGGAGGAGATGTATGAAGGCAGCAGACCAAGAAGTGATTTAAAGATGAAAAAGTACCAGTAGGAGAGTCTGCGTGAAGTTAATGATGTCCAGTTAACCAGTGAATACAGGGTGCAGTTGCAGTGGTAAATGGAAATGGACTGTACTTATACAGCGCCTTTCTATTTTATTTCAAGACACTCAAAGCTCTTTACACTACAATCTGTGCCTCATTTACCCATTCATACAGCACTCTACTAGATCTCTACAAAGCTAATTGAACAAATCATTCTAAAGAGACTAATCAGTGCTTTATGGTATGGTATGGTATAAAGTTTATTCATTTAAAAAAAGTACAAAACAATTCCATAACAATATAAAAAAGATACAAAAGATTTAAAATGAAAGGCAGCAGAAAGAAGAAAAGATCTTATTATATCTGCCCCTTTTTTCAAACAATTATTTAAATCATAATAATTTTCAAGTAACAGAACAAAATGAATAACTCTTTCTAATTTTTCTAATTCTAATACAAAACACACACTAAGCTACTTCATATATATTTTTTTAACAATTCAGCTTTGATCTTTTTCTTAAATGTATACATTGACTTGGCATTTTTTCAATCACTCTCTACCATTCCACAATCCAACTCCTTGGATTGAGGTAGACCTTCCCTTCAGACTAAATCTGAATTTTGGTTTGACAAATATCTCTATCCCCTTAAGATTATAACAACTTTGTCTTAACAAAATTTCTCTGGATATTTAATGGTAATGTGTTATTTTGAGCCCTATACATAACTGATAAAATACTGTAATCTACTAAATCATGGAATTTCAATAACTTTAGTTGATAAAATAATGTGCTTGATGGGTGACTGTAATGCTTTCTGGTGATAATTCTTACAGCTCTTTTCTGTAAAATAAAAATAGGTTTTGTAAATGTTTTACACGCTTTCGCCCAAACATCAATGCAATAGATTAAATGTGGAACAATGATTGTGTTATACAACATGTACAGAGCTTTATCATTTAATAATTCCCTGACTTTGTATAGTACTGCAATAGATTTAGATATTTTTGTTCTTACAGAATTAGATCACATTCATACACTGATGGGACACACATCAGAGGCAATGAGGGGTTCAGTGTCTTGCCCAGGGACACTTCAGCATGTGACTGCTGGTGGATTCGAACCCCCAACTCTCGCATTGGAGGACGACTGCTCTAACCACTCAGCCACAGTTGCCCCCTAGTGGTGGGTACGATAATCACAGCCAGTTATGAATCTTAGTGCACCATGATAGACAGCATCCAACATCTGCAGGGTTCTTGTAGGAACGTTCATGTAAATAATGTCACTGTAATCAATGGAGGGAAGGAAAGTCACAGATACAAGGTGTTTTCTAGCATTCAGGGTTAGACAGGATCTGTTTCTGAAAAAGAAACCCAGTTTAACTTTCAGTTTCTTTACTAAGTTTTCCACATGGAGCTTAAAAGAGAGATGTGAGTCGACCAAGATACACAAATATTTATAGGAATCAACAAACTCAACGGGGACACCATTTGAGGATGAAATAAGAGGAAGAACTGCTGGGACCGACTTTCTGTCTGAAAAAACATCCCTTTGGTTTTATCTGCATTTAAGACAAGTTTGAGGTGGAACAAATCTGTCTGGATGACGTCAATGCGGATTTTGAAGACGATGCGTGATTTAACCGAAGCCATTGGAGCTGCTGCAGGAGTGATGTGGTTATAAGAGGAGTATCCTGATGCATGCTCAATAATCTAGGAAGAAAAATCTAAAAAAGTTCAATCTGATCCTCTGGACATTCAAAAAACAAAACAAAGAAAAACAACAAAAAAATGTAGAAACGTTTTGTCTTTCATCCAAAAGACTTCCTCAGTCTGAGGTGCTGTATTCAGCTCAGTCTCTTAAATAGCACCTTCTCAGAGTGGATCAACCAGTTTGCTGCTGACAACCAAAACCAGCTGATCACATGGTCAAGAAGGACCATCAGCATAACAATGGATCATTAGCACACTGATGGCTGTTTACTGTTCACAGAGGGCTGAGTGATACTAGCAATCACAGCATTGTAAGAGGGGGACAGTTGAACCCGGAGGCCTCCACCCCTGTTTAATGATGGACGATTTCTTTTCACAAAGATGGCCTCCTTTACTCCTCTCTCAAACCATCCTTCCTCTCTGTCCAGGATGTGAACATCTTCATCCTTGAAAAAGTGACCGCTGGCCTGGAGATGAGTGTAGACCGCAGAGTCCTGGCGTGATGATGTTGATCTTCTGTGCTGGGCCATCCTTTTGGCCAGTGGCTGTTTAGTTTCCCCGATGTAAGACTGATCACAGCCCTCCTGACACTGAACAGCATACACAATATTACTCTGTTTGTGCCGGGGGACTGGATCTTTGGGATGAACCAGTCTTTGCCGTAATGTATTTTGGGGTTTAAAAGCAACTGGGACGTTGTGTTTAGAAAATAAACTTCTCGATAGGTTATAAAAGGAGGTTTCACAAGGCAGCTTAGTTCTGGACCCTCTGTAGCTTCTGAAGAGATTTGTTGTGGAGGACATAATGAAGAATCAGTAAGCAACTCCCCTTCTGCTGATGTTGTTATTCTTTCTGGTTCTATTTGTGATGTTTACAACTTTTAAACTATTTATTAAGACTGAACTGACTGTCATAATGCCAACAGGAAACAGCGACGTTTTTTTTTACTTCCGGTGTACCGTTGTATTCTTTCCGACATGTAGCGGAACCTTTCTCTTGTTTCCGCTTTGACTGAAACAAACATGGCAGCTGAGGGAGACGTAGATTTGGACCTAGAAGCCGAGGAAAACTGCACCGGGAAACCGGTGGAGAAGCCTCGGAAACACGACAGCGGAGCCGCTGATCTGGAGAGAGTCACGGACTACGCGGAGGAGAAGGAAATCTCCAGCTCGGACTTAGAGACGGTGAGATGTCCTGGCTGACGGACCGACATGCGGCCGCTGCTGCCTTCACGGTCCCCTCAGTCACAATCATGTCCGGTCCGTTTCCTCCAGAACTGTCTGCTTTGGCTGTTTGTAGTTGAGTTGTGACTAAACTCCACCATCAGAAAGTTGATGATGTTCACTAGCCTGTGCCCCGTTAGTTAGACCAATCTGCAGCTCATTAAAACAACAACAAACCCCAAAACAACCTTAAAGTCAGCTGTTTCTGATCTGTTTTTATTGACACGTTACTAAATGATATGAACTGGACCTGATTAAACACACAGCTTCTGGATTCTACTTTAAATTTACATATACAACGAGTTAGATTATTAGAGTGTTAATGTCCTACATTTAGTACACATTGTCTTAATATAACTTACAATTTAGTGACAGTTTTTTAAATTGTTTAAAAGAATTAACATAGCGCCAGAATATCAGATGTAGTAATTAGATTATATTTTTTATTATTTCAGGCCATGTCAGTGATTGGAGACAGAAGATCACGAGAACAGAAAGCTAAACAAGAAAGGTAAGACCACCGCAGGACTTCCTCATGTCAAATCCTCCTCATTCATCTCATTTACATGAGCAGGTGTGGAAAATACACGTCACACTTTAGTTTTACCTCAAGGACACAAGTTCTTTTTGTGTTTCAGAGAAAAGGAGCTGGCCAAAGTCACCATCAAGAAGGAAGATGTGGAGCTCATTGTAAGTTGTTGTTTTGTTAGGGATGTTTTATGATTATTTGTTTGTATATGTAATATAAATACTTCTGATATAAGCCAAAGGGTTCCTAAATGTTTTCTATTTTAAAAATCCAAGCTGCTGCAGACTCAGTTTGGTGTAGTTCTTTTTGATGTTGGTGCAGTAATAAAATGCCTCTGACATGAACGTCCTGCAAATACAATAAGTGGAAAAAAATACTTATTTTGAAGAAATTCAACATAGTTCAACGATTTTATCCATTTTGTCACATAACTGGCATATTTTCTTTTGAACTTGGTGCAAAGTGAAACTGGAAGTCACATCAATGGGAACTGGTCTTTGAAACAATCTGATTTGAATCTAACGAGGTTGAGTCAGGTCTTCTGGAGGATTCTTCTTGTTGAAACGTTTTGTATTTCATCCAGAAGACTTCTTCAGTCTGAGGAGCTGCAACAAACTCATTAAGACTCATCAGTCTTCTGTTCTCAGACTGAAGAAGACTTTTGGATAAAAGATGAAACATTTCAACAAGAATCCGTCCAGATAATCTGACTCAACCTTGTTAGATTACCTGGATTATTGAGCAGCTTCAGGATAATCTTATTTGAACGTTCACTCTTCTTTGTCTGACAGTCACTCAAAAAGCATCAGATTCTTCTCTTCGGTCTGCATTTAGTCATTTTAGCAACACTGTTAACATGCAGGCGTTCCCCTTTCACATCACTTCCTGTTCAACCATCTCAGCTGTTCCAACATGAATAAAAACAGCTGCAGTGCCTTAATTTGTTCTAATGAGTGCCTTCATATTTATTATAAAAACTGAATGCTATACATTTTATTGCCAGCTAGTCGTCAATTTAAAATAATTTTCTAAAGCTGTTCTATAATTTTTAGTCAAATAAAAACACTTGTATGTTTTAGAGCCGTCACAAGATTCTTAATGAAGAGTTTATGTCTTGGACTCAGAGCTGGGCGCAGAGGGTAGAGAAGATGGGCCTGTGATCGGAAAGTCGCAGGTTCAACTCCCAGTACCGTCAACATCAAAATGTGGGTGGAAAAGGTGGAACACCCACACCTGCCCCCACCCTCATTCACCCCACCCTGGGCCCCTGAGCAAAGCCCTTAACCCCCACCATCTGCTCCTAAACAGGTCTCTCTAGAAACAGTTCTTGTGGCCCAATGAGACTACCTGGATAAATAAAGGCTGAATGAAAACAAAAAAGATGCTGATCATCTCAAGATCTTTGACAGCTGCTTCTGTCAGGCGCTCTCAGTAAATCGTCATGTTTGGGTGTGTCCAGCTTCCTCCCTCCCCCACCTCCTGGTCCACCTCACCACCAGGTGGGATCACGTCACAGCTCAGCTCCTCTTTAAAGAAACTATTACTCTTAAAAACATTTTGCCCCAAGTCAAATAACTGGCTGTGAAATATCAGGTTTTTACTTAGTTACAAAAAAAAAAAGTGTGAAAATACTTTTTTTTGTTAGGTTTGATAATTTTGAATACATTTTATAGAAATAGTTTGAAAACTAAAACTTGTGGTATTATCGTTAAATCTTGGATTCTAAACGTACATGTGCTCAGTCATGTAACAGGTGTGACCATGACCGGACCGTGAGAACTGGACCATGACTCGTGATGTTTACTTGCAGTCCTGTGTCTCACTGATCTTGTGTTGAGGGTTTTTGATCCGTACCAGAATGAATCCAACTGGATCTCTGAAGCTGTGACCTCCTGTTGCTCTGCAGATGTCTGAGATGGAGATCTCGAGGTCGGTGGCGGAGCGCAGCCTGAGGGAACACATGGGGAACGTCGTGGACGCTCTGGTGACTCTGACCAACTGAACAAACCCGACACTGGACTCTTGTACTGGACCCTTCAGAACCAGCCACACTGACCTCCCACACGCTGTTCTTGTTTTAATAAAAGCTCTTTCTTCACCGTGTGCGTCAGAAATACAATGACTTTAATTAAAACTTGTACTAAAACAAAATAAAGAAAACAAATAACATGTTTTATAGAAAGTCAAACCTTGAATATTTACATTAAATCGTCAGTGAAACTTCCAGCTGCAGGATCTGGTGATGTTAGGAACATCTGTCTCAGCTGGTGTCCCACATGTTCAGCTGCAGCCTCAGATTTCTCCTGGTTGGACCAACAAGGCATGAGGATCAGTTCCTTTTCTCCCACGACAAAGTCCAGACAGACCGAACTGATGTCACAGGATGAAGCAGCTCCGAGTCTAGATCTGATGGAAACACTGGTGGAGCTTAGGTCTTCCTCTTCTTCACGGTGGGCCGGTCGAACACGTCCCTCACACCTGCTGCCTTCTGCTTGAAGAACTTGCTGTTCTGAGCGCTCTCCTGGGCCCAGGCCGAGTCGAACGACGTGGTGTCCTGGTCCACCAGGTGGGTGTACTTGGTGCGTCCTGACCGGCCAAAGTTCTTCACCTGAGGAGAGCAGAACGTTGACCGAGTCACAAAACTGAACAGTAACAGGGAAAGGTCTGTCTGGTTGAAGAACATCTGGAAACTAGAAGAGCTGTCAGTTTCACTTCTGATTATAAATGAAGTTTAAAACGGTTTGTGAAGAGCACAGCGTGCACCAAAGATGGAGTGGCAGCTGCTCACCTGCATCACTTTGGGTAGGATGGTTTTGTTGAAGTGGTCCTCCAGAGTCGGAGCGCTGAAGTCTCTCTTGTAAACATCATCATCCTCGTTCTGCAGCACAAAGCACACATCCACCATTAAAACCATTCTGTACCTGGAGGGGGGGGACACCACATCTGTGCTGGTGTTTGAACACACGTTCACACGCTGAGGGATCCAGGCAGCAGAGAGATGGACCCTGACCAGTGGAGGGAGTAGTTCTATCCTCCACCAGGTGCAATGACAGGGTGGTCAGTGGTGGAATCACTGGAGGAAATACTTTGAGGCAGTATGTGTCAGGGTTTTGGTTGGAGGTTCTGGACGTATTATTAGTAGCATTCTTTCCCTTCAAACAAACAACTGAGGCGTCTCTGAACACTCTTATCCTGAAGAGACGCCCGTGCACCGCATCGAAGGCCAGGAGGAGCATGTGAGAGTGCACACCCACTGGAACCATGAGAAGATGATAAGGATGTAAAGTGAGTGGACGATGCAGCACGTGCAGATCATTGTGACCAGGCTTCACGTGCACATTTAATGCAGATTGATGTGAACTGTCCCCATGTCTGTCCTCACAAGTAAAACTGTCAGAGATAAATCTTCACCTGCCGTGTGTGGGTGACGTTCATTCTCCTCTAACAATATAAAACTGGAAGCACAACAGCTGTTGTAGACTGTTCACAACCTGCAGTGTGCGCGCGCGCACACACACACACACACACACACACACACACACACACACACACACACAGCTGTCACTCATCTAAACTGCATTATCTGACATGATCTTCACAAACAACTGAGTCATGTTGATATAGGAATGATTATTTTGATGCTTTTATGTCAATTAATACTTATACTCACTTTTGATGCAGCTTATCTGCCCAAAGTCAGGCCTGTGCTGCAGATGCGTTTTGGAGTAATTAAAGTTCTCTGGGGGATGCTCTAACCAGAAGACCTGGCCCATCTTAAGGTTACGATGACCCAGATTTTGAAGGACATGTTTTTATGAAGCCATCGCTCTGTTGCACAGACTGCTTTGATGATGGAAAAACAGATTTTAATTAAATCTGTCCTCCTGGCAACCATCAAACTTGTTTTTCACTGCTCTCACGCGATCCGGTCAGGGAGAGGTATAAAGGAGGTGTGACAGGCAAGGGAATTTGGAAGTCTGCCGTGGACTAACGCGTGAGTGCCCGGCGCAATTTTGATGTGATTCTTCTTTACCCGGGTCGAAAACGACTTCCCGGCCAGTGTCACGGTGAGAGGCTCTTTCATATCAATTTGTGTGTTAAGAGTGTACGAGTGTACATGTTTTTGCTTGGCTGTTTTCTGTGGCAGGTTAATAAATGACACTATTATTCCTAGCAGTAACAGTCTCTGTGTGTCTCATTTTTCCCATTGTCTGAATATCTGGTGCCGATCGTTCACGACCCCTGTTAATTTCATAATACACATGTTTATAAGAAGTTTTAATGTCTAACTACAGAACAGGCAGGATGAGAGAAATGAAGGAGCAGAACCTCTTTAGTGACGTCCAGAACCACCTACTCATCTTTACTGTGAACCATCAGGGCCGGGTCAAACTACGTGACGTCGTGCTGCTCACACTGTTCTGTGACGGACAGCATGCACTGACCACAGCTGGTCCAGTCAGCTCTGAACAATAAAGTAAAGGGGAACTGATCCGCTCTGATGAACAAAACTCAAACATTTTTATTGTAAAGGGGTTCTGATAAACAAATTATTCAACTTTCAGCAGAAACAAACACCGTATCTTCAGAACATTCCCGTGGATCTTACCAGCTGGCAGCTGAACCGTGTGTTTAAATCCTGAGAACTCCGGCTAAACCCTCTTGTTTTTGTAGGTCCAGTAGGTCCAGGGTAGGAGGTCTTAAAGCAGGACCATTCAACTGCTCAGGGGGCCACAGTTACTGAGAGCCAAGAGCTCAGGGGCCGAACATCCAGCAGTTATTGTCATTAAGTTTGTTTTATGATTTAAAATCTATTTTTATTTAAAAATGGACCCACTGGTGACTGAACTGAGACCCCCCGTGGGCCTGATTTGGCCCCTGGGCCACCAGTTGACAAGCCCTGACCTAAAGGGTTGGGTTCAGAAGAACAAACGTCAGCAGACAGGAGTCCAGACCTCCTCCAACATGAAGATGTGCTCACAGCAGAATGAAGCCATTCACAGCTGCATTCACGTCTATTTGAATCGTATCACCAGGACCAGCACCAGGTGCGGGTGGAGGTCTGGGTGGTGTGTACATTGATGCAACAAAACATGAAAAATAAATCTCAAAGAAGTTTCCATCATCTGGTCTGCGCTGATGTTTGTGCTGCGGCTCACCAGGAAGAAGGCTCCTCGGTGGTAGTACTTCTGCAGGAACTTGTATTTGCCCTTGGAGGCCTTGTTGGTGATGACCTTGCCGTTGTTGCGCAGCTCTGCCCGGCGCTCCTCCTCCGTCAGGCTGTGGAACCTTTCGATTTCAGCCTTCTCCTTCTCCATTCTGACGACAGACAACAAGAGTCACCCCCACCCTTCACCGTGACTTCGTTTTGAGTCGTGTACTCACGCTTCTCGAGCCTCTCTGTCCCTCTTGATGCGTTTCAGCTCTCGGACCTTCCAGGATTCATATTCCTCCTCCTCCTCGTTCTCTCCGTCAGTGTCCAGGGCTTCCAGGGCGGCCAGGGTGCGCCGGTTCTCCTCGAACTCCTTCTTAGCTTCCTCCTCCACGATCTTGAGGGTGTAGCGGCGCCGCTCCTCCGCCTGCTTCTTGACCTCGGCCTCCAGTTCTCGTTGCTTCACCTCCTCAGCTTCTCGCTCTGCTACGGTCACCCGGTCTTTTCTGAAGCAAAGGCACACAGCTGGAGTTACAAACAACAAACATGTAATTATTACTAAACCTGTTCTGACGTGAACGACTCCTTTAAGAAAACACTCATTAAATTTGATTTTAACTGATTTTTCCAGCATTGAAGCAGGAAGCAGTGTGAACAGTGAGCTCCAGCTTGTTGTTGAGCAGGTTTCTCTCCTGGGTACCACAGACTGAGTTTAGCTGAAATTCACTATTTTAAAAGAGCACATTCATTTATATTAGAGAAAATGAAACAATACAGGATTCTCTTTTAATAAAGAAAAGTTTTGCAGAGAGTGGTGAAGGCTGCACAGAAGTCTGTTGGTGTCAGTCTCCCCACCATCACAGACATCTACACCTCCAGATGCAGGAAGAGGGCCACCTGCATCATGAAGGATCCCACTCACCCAGCACGCACACTTTTTGCCCCGCTCCCCTCAGGAAGGATGAGGTAGGAAGTGTAGAACTACTAAACTGAGAAAAAGCTTCTACCCTGAATCTGTTAAACTCATGAATATCGAACCATAAAAATCACTGTAATGACACTTCAATTTGTTGATATGTGCTGCTGATTATTCATGTTGCTGCTGATCTATTTCATTCATACACATCTGCTCACAGACTCATGTTTGTGCTGCTGTTCAGCTAATTGTTTTTATTGTTTTTGTACTACTAGTGCTTAATGTATTCTTAGTTCATATCTTAGATCTTGTTACTGTTTTTCTTTTATATTTTATTGTTGGATGTAACTGGGACCCTGTGAACATAATTTCATTCCACCACATGTACCACATGAGGTGGAATGACAAAATAAAGAAACTTTGACTTTGACTGTGGCTCGTGCTTGTATGCGCCAAGCGCAGGAGTTGGAGGAGAGATGTAGGTGGTGCAGCAGCACCAGAACAGACCAGTTACTGCTCACACACCCACCATTAAACACCACTACTGTCATCAAGATGTTCCATTTCTTCAAAACAGATGAGCGTGACGACAGACTGCAGCTCTCACGATGACATCACCGTCAGCGCGGTCATGATTTCTGTTGTGTCAGCTTTAGCTCGTACTTGCGTATGAAGACAGGTTTGAGTCGCGGCTCTGCTTCGTCCTCGCTGTCCGTGTACTCTTCGTACTCTGACTCCGACTCTGAATCCTCCACCGACTTCCCCTCCTCTTCCACCTCCATGACCTCCATGTCTTCGCTCTTTCTTTCCATCGCTCGCTGACGCATCATCGCTCGTCTCCTTTCAATTTCCTGCACAGAACCACGAGAAGCTGATCAAGAGTTGATTCAAAATGTTAAAAAATAAAGTCATTTAAAATCGTGGCGCTGTTGGGACCTCGTCATCCACTTCTTCCTCCTCCTCATCTTCCTCCTCGCTGCTTTCCTCCTCCTGCTTGGGGTGCCACGTGCCTTCATCAGAGTCCTCGCTGCTCTCAGCCACAACTTCAGGCTCTACGATCTGCCTGTGCCTCGCCAGCCTGAGCACAAACACAAACAATAAACAAAGTGTTGTCGGGCTAACGGGAGGTGAACCTGAAGAGCAGAGCACCACCTCTCCTCCACGTCTTCGTTGGACCGGTTGAGCAAACGTTTGAGACGTGGGTCAGAGACGTCCTCCTCCAGCTGCTCCACCTCCACCACCTCCATTTCCATTCCTTTCTTCGCAAACTTGAACTCCACCTCTTCCTCATCGGACGACTCCATGGGTGCATAGTCCGGACGTTTCCCTGAGACGTAACGCTTCACCTTCACCTTCTCCATGGAGAGCTCACCTGGATCCAGCACAGATAACGACAGACTTCACACCAATCCGGTTTCAACCAGCCAGCTTTGAGCAGGACAGAAACCCACAGAACTACCAGAGATCGTAGATTAACAAGATCTGAGCCAATCAGAAAACACTACACAATAACAATCTGTGTCCTGGGAGATTAAAATGTGATGAAATGTGAAAGTCTAACATTATTCTGTCCAAAGTAACAAACCTTAAATAAATAAATCAAACCAAGAGTCACTTTATGCTTCAACTGGAGTTTCTATCATTTTAAGATACACTACTTAATAAATGGTGAGAACAGTTCAGGACTTGATGCTTTCAGAAAAACATTATTATTCATTTTAATTGTTACAGAGTTCAGATTAATGAAAAAAAAAACACGCAAAGCCTCATAAAACTCTTCAACACATCTGATTATTACAAATATTTTCATATTCAAATATTTTACTGTGAATAAATTAATCTATTATTGAGAAATACTTTGTACCTTTTAGAAGCCCTATTACTAGGATTTTTTTAACACTTTGAAAAAAATAAACTGGATTTTACTCCAAAAGTATTTGGAGTAGTTGTATTGTATGTTTTAGAACTGTGCAATAAACAGAAACATATATCATAAATTTGATTATACTCTTGGGGAAATACCACACACACAAATCAAAGTTTAGTCACTCTCTTCCTTTTTCAGGCTTTCCCAAAGAGTCTGAACATTGTGTAAACATTCCTGACTCTAATAACAAGAAAATACAGAGCAGTTTTCTGTGGTTTGAAAATACATTTAGACTTTGTGTTGTTTATGTTGTTGTTCTTGCTTTTCAAACAACAAGCACACATTTTAAACATCCACCATGTGTTTGTTGATAACTGATAACTTGTTTGTGTTTAACTGAGTCCGGATGATGCTAGCTGGTCCCAGCTAACGGGAACCACTCACCCTTCTCGTTCCGGACCGGCACGGCTCCGGCCGTGGACTGGATCGGAGGAAGCTTCATGTTGACGGGTTCGTGACTCGACATGGCTGCCTGGTCACTGACGGAAAGATGGAGAAAAGTTTAATAAAAGGGATGTTTCGGTCAGACGCAGCGAGCTCCCCGCAGGTCTAAACGGAAGTTCGACAAAATGCGCAAACGGACCGGAAGTGAAATTGTTCCGACAGCAATTTCCGGCTGTTGGGAAGAATTTCGACCTACCGATAAAATTACGTCTTTTCATATTTTCAGTGTAATACAGTAAGGTAATTCTAATTTAAATGTATTTTATTTTTTTAATAGATATAAAGGGAAAAAAAGTGCAATATGAGTAAATGTTAGTACGTTGTCCGTGTACTGCCCCCTCGTGGCTGTTAGTTTCTATACACGGTGGCAAAAAAAAAAAAATGTTTCTGCTAAAGTAAAGAAACAGTACTCAACCTTTATTTATACAGGTTAATCCCGTTGAGCCTCAGGGACTCATTTACAAGAGAGACCTGAAAATCTCATCTGTTACTTGACAAGTCCTCCAGAATAACTTTTTTCCAGATGTTTCATGTTGATGTGTTCATGCGTGCTCATCTGCTCACACAGACTCATGTTCGTGCTGCTGTTCGACATAATGTTTTTATGCTATTAGTGCTTAGTGTATATTTAGTTGATGTTTTTCTTAGTTCATATCTTAGATCTTATTACTGTTTTTCTTTTACATTTTATTGTTGGATGTAACTGGGACCCTGTGTACATAAACTGGTTCCACCACAAGTACCACATGAGGTGCGAATGACAAATAAATCTCTCTGACTCTGAAACATTAAGTGACAAATTAGAGGAAAAAACGAACACAAAGAGAAACAAATCTGCATAATGCTGTTCACTTATTTTGTGAATCTTGTGTAAAATATGTTGGACAATGTTAACCCAGATGTTATACTGATGTCGATTCTGTCATCAGGGATATGGCAAATCCACAAAGTAAATAAATCAATCTAAAAAGCAACTGAACTTCTTTTCTGTAGTTAAAGATGTCTGTCTTTCCATTTGGGAACCATCATTTATAATCTCTACAGTTTATAAATTGTCTGACTGGTTCCACGTGTTCATCCTTTCAAGTGATTTTTACGTGTTTTGTTTGTCACCAGTGACTATAAACACACAACGATCCACAGATAAACTACAACAGGTTTATTGGATGCAGACAAGTGTAAAGACATTCTAACACAGTCTGTGTAGTTCAACCAGTGGTCTGCTGTCACAGTTCAATCCCTCTCTCTTTGAACAGGTCCTGAAGCTTGTCCTCCAGAGCCGAGTGAGTTCCTCTCAGGCCTCTCACCACCTCAGCTGCCCACACAAAATACTCCTGGATCCGCTCAGCCGACCAGCCTGACACACACACATGCAGAAACAAACAAACAATTAACATTTACACTTTGTCCTCAACTACAAATACAAACCAGACATTTAAAAAATCCTAAACGTAGCTATAAATTATTTGTTATATCTATGAATTCATAAGCGTGAAGATGATGACAGCCCTGCATTCGTTGAAGGACTGCATATCGCCCGCCGCCCTCCATGCCAGAGTTTTACACTAAAAACTTCTGCTGGGAAATGATTGAGGTGGAGCAACATCAGCAGCCGTCACACTCCAATCATGTGCTGTGGATGACTCTCAGCTACTACCACGTCAGCATTGAGCTCAACATCCAGGAAACTGACTTAGAGCTAGGCCTGCCACGATAACAAATTTTACTGGGCGATTAATTGTCTCAGAAATTATTGCGATAAACAATAATATTGTTTGAAATTTGACAGTATTAGTAATTATTGTCAAATTTAAGATGAAATGTTGTTCAATTTGTTTTGTGTGTAGTACCTTTTTCAACCACCAGATGGCAGTATAAGACTGAACAGAAGGATGGATAGTGAGGGCGTGAGCAGCGTGTCTCTTTAAGAAAAATGGGAGGGAGGCCCCTTGACGTGACAAAAAGGAAGGAGAGACATCTCCTTCCTGTTTTTCAGTTCTCAAAATGGCGGACGCTCAGTGTGGTTTGAGCTCTTTAGCATAGCATTTTTCACACAAAGTTTTTAATAAAAATCAGTAAACAAGTTCTCAGAGAAAAACAACTTTTTACAAGAAGGCACGAGTTTCAACCATGAATTTTGGAGCTTCGACAAGACGGAGGTTTTTTCCCCTGAGGTCGGCCTGTTAGCTTAGCTTTTCAGTTTAGCTGCTTTTAATGATCAAAAATGCGATTTTGGATCGTTTAAACAGATTTTAAAGAGAAAAGAGAAAGGGAGGGGTCAGTGAAGAACACCGGAGTTGAGCCTTTTGTCATCCAGTGTCTTCAGTAGAAAGAGAGACACATGAAGAAACGATAAAGCTGATAAATGAAAAAGAGGTCGATAATTTTCTTTTATCATGCGATTAATTGATTAATTGTTTATTGCGACAGACCTAGTTAGAGCCATTTATATGTTGCTAATGTTGATTAGCTGTGACGGCCATCTTGAATTAAAGTGACTCCAAAATCCATGGACCTTTGAAAATTACTCAATGTGATATTTTGCTAACAGACAAGCAAGTCTGTCTCTAACAGTTAATGCTGATTTTTAGGTAAAGATGTGCATGTAGCCCGTGTTATGGATGACTCTCAGCTACTACCACACCAAGTTTGAGTTCCGTAACTATAAAACTGAATTATAACCATTTTGTGTTTTCCAATGTGAGTTAGCTGTGGCGGCCATCTTGAACTGGGCTCAAAGTTAATCAGCTGCAGATGTCACAACCTCTCCTCCTCCACCATAACCCTCAGCACTGGCTCTCCTCAGGGATGTGTGTTGAGCCCCCTCCTGTTTACTCTGCTCACATATGATTGTGCAGCTACCCATCCAGGCTGTCACATTGTAAAGTTTGCAGATGATACAGCGGTGGTGGGATGCATCACAAACAATGATGAGTCCAGCTACAGGCAGGAGGTGGAACACCTGGAGAGCTGGTGCAGAGAGAATAACCTTCACATCAATGTGAAGAAGACAAAGGAGATGATTGTGGACTTCAGAAGGAACAAAAACACCTACACCCCCCTGAACATAAGAGGATCTGCGGTGGAAGTGGTCTCCAGCTACAAGTACTTGGGTGTACACATGAATGACAACCTCAGCTGGAGCAACAACACCACCAGCCTGATCAAGAAAGCTCATCAGAGACTCTACTTCCTCAGACGGCTGAGGCGAGCTGGTCTGGGAAGCTCAGTCCTCACCTCCTTCTACAGGTGTGCAGTGGAGAGCATCCTGTGCTCGAGCATCAATGTGTGGCATGGAGGCTGCACAGCTGCAGAAAGAAAAGCTTTGCAGAGAGTGGTGAAGGCTGCACAGAAATCTGTTGGAATCAGTCTCCCCACCATCACAGACATCTACACCTCCAGATGCAGGAAGAGGGCCACCTGCATCATGAAGGACCCCACCCACCCAGCACACACACTTTTTGCCCCACTCCCCTCAGGAAGGAGGTTAAGGAGCATTAAGTGTAGAACCACTAGACTGAGGAACAGCTTCTACCCTGAGGCTGTTGGACTCATAAATCTCTAACTAGAATAATCACTGTGAAAAACCACATCATGTTGCTGCTGATCTGTTTCATGTTGCTGCTGATCTGTTTCAATGTTGATGTGTTCATGCGTGCACATCTGCTCACAGACTCATGTTCATGTTTGTGGTGATGTTCAATGTTTTATGTTATGAGTGCTTAGTGTATATTTAGTTGATGTTTTTCTTAGTTCATATCTTAGATGTTATTACTGTTTTTCTTATACATTTTATTGTTGGATGTAACTGGGACCCCGTGTACATAATTTCGCTCCACCACATGTACCACATGAGGTGCGAATGACAATAAAGAAACTCTGACTCTGACTCTGACTCTGATGTACAGCCACTAATTATTTCATGAAAATATTAACAAAATCCATCCTGTAGTTCATAAAATATTTTACTAACAGTCAAAGTTGTCTCCAAATAGTTAAAAGGTAAATTTTTTAACAATTTGTTGACACAATCCCTGCGTTCTTATGAAAACAGTGTTATGTGTGGAAACGTTAAGCGTCTTAGCTTCAGTCTCGGTTGGTGGCGGGTCGAGCGGACAGGTGCTGACCTACAGGTGTGCAGCCGTTCAGGTCCCTGAGGTTGTACAGCTTATCTGCCAGTTTCACCAGTTTGGCTTTTGGGCTGCAGTGAGGCGCGTGCTCCACCTGCTGACGCTTCCTTGCCAGCTTTGGCAATCTTTTGTCATCCGTCACTTCCTGGACAATACCAGCCACAGCGTCCCCAAACTTCTCTTTCAGCTCTTCGATGGTGGTGTCCGTGTCCTCCACTGTGTCGTGAAGCAAAGCCGCCTGCAGAGACACAACCATAAGCTCAGCAGGAACCGTGTTCCCGTGTGGAGCACAGTGCGAACATCTGGTGACATACTTGCAAAACTTCTATGTCTGTGACTCCTCCTTCATGACTGAGGATTCTTGACACTCCTTAAAGGTAAAAGAACTGCATCAGAGACAAATCTCAACAGGAAGTGGTTTTACACTCAACAGACGGCACAAAGGGTGGTCCTCAGACCAGCAGCAACGAGGACTGTGCGCTCACACACCTGGTGGGTGTCTCATGTTGTAATAATACTCAGTATATTGTACCCAGTCTGCTCTGAGCTGGAGCTATCCAACAGAAGGACTCATATTTGAGTCCTTTGGTCTGCAGAGAGTTCATGGTCTACTCTTTGGCAGCATGAAGTCCAGGTCCTGCAGCTGATCCCCCTCCACCACCGTGCTAACAACTGGTTTAGTCTTTCTGCTGATATTCTGTGTTTGGAGCACCAAACCTGCCTCTGTGGACTATGACCAAAAATCATTAGTCTTTGTTCTATAGACACATGGTAGAAATACATATTACTGCTGTGAACATACGGATACACACCTGGTACTTAACAGGTACATATCCTGTATGTATTCAGTATTTACCCAAATGTATTTACTATGGACCTGGTACGTCACCTGTACAACGTGTACAGACTAGGTACTAGCAGGTATGTCCATCACTGGCTTGTGAATGTAAAGGCAGCTAATTTAGAAGTACTGTACTTTGCAGTCACTGCACAGATCTATTTATGAAAACATCTTCAGAGTGACGAGGTTTTCTTCTGCAGTCTTTCTAAACAAGCCATACTTGCCCTGTTTGTTCTGACCTTTCACCTTTCACCTGCTAACTGAGGCCTGTAGTCTGAGAAGGAGCTCTTTGTTAGTTCTCTGAGCATTGCACAGTCTGACCATGGGGTGAATTAGTTGGGACGTCCACTCCTGAGAAAACTGGCGACTACTGTGAATATTTCTCTCCAAGATTAATAAAATTTCTTTATAACTCTTCTTAGACTGATGGCAGCATGAGTTATCTAAGATTATTAGAGGTGCTCAAACCTGAGCATGACATCATCACTGATATGATATCATCCTGTTGGCTGTTTACTGAGCAGAACTAAAAAAAGCAAACACAAAGTACAACATTATGTTTACGCTACTATAATAAGATGTTATAATTATTTCATAAACGTGTTTCTGTGCAGTCTGACAGGCATGCGTCTCCCATGTCCACCCACCGATTGGATGATTGATGTACGGGGTTCCGGCTGGGTCTTTACGTTTCTGGTTCCGATGTTTGTACGCAGCGAAATGAACAGCTTCCAACAATAATGCTGCGTCTGAGCTCATCATTCAATTAAATATATATATTTACTGGCGAAATCAATGAAACACGAAGGTGAAGATTTTTAAAAACAGCTCCGAATAAAAACTGACTTTTCCGGTTCAAGGGCAGGGGAATAGTTTCCGCCCATATGTCACGTGATCGCTTCCATAATGCCCATATATGTAAAATGTAACGCGTTACAGCGATCCCTGTTTAATGTGAGTCCAGGAACCGCAGCCACTAATGAACTACTGCCTTTGATCCAGACACAAAACAACACAAACATATAGGTTTTTTTTTTCTGACTCGTGGAAAATCGAGTTGGGTGCATATGTTGCATAAAGTCTATCAGAAAACCAACAAAATGTGACATTCTCCACAAAGCTTCATCTGTTTATCCTGTCCGCGTGTTGTTGTGTCCGGGGGAAACAGCAGCCGATATCAAGGATTCCGCTCCTTTAGCTACGGAAGCAGGTAGTCAGTACATTCAGTTAAACTGCTTTACAATTTTTTAAACAGACAGATACAAATTAATTTATTTTATATTATGAGATAATTTGTGTGGAAATGTCAGTGTTTCGTCGTTAGTTTTAAGCTTTTAACCGAAGGATACAGATGTGTTTTTAGCCTTAAGCTAACAGCAGCTAACTGTTGTTTTTTTAATTGCAGCACTGATTTGTTTGGCTGAATGTCTGTTGTGTCAGAATGGCTCACGATGTCAGGAGAGATTCCCCGGAGCTCCCAGATTTCTCTCTACTCAAAAGACTGGCCAGAGATCAGCTCATCTACCTCCTAGAACAGGTAGGACCAGGACCAGGACTGGGCAGGTGTTGCTTGCCTGACTCATCTTCAGACTATTTGAGTGGACAAACCACTGGCTGTGAGCATCTTCGGGTTACTGAGCACTTTTTAAAGCAGCTACATAATAATTACACAAGTAAAACAGGTAGTTTTAGTTTAAAATTATTTATTTTTGTGCAGCTGCATTCACTAAATACAATCTCACACAATTTATGACTGGCAGTGTCTTGTGGCTAATTTATCATCAAAATTCATTAATACAAAAAAATAATAATAATTCAAACCTACATTCAAACTTAACCATTTATTGCCTAAATAATTTTAGCTCACAATAGTAATGTATCGATTCATAATTTGGTCTGATCGATGATAACAAATATAAACTGTTTATATTTCATGCATAGCTCAATATTTAAGAAACAATGAGATCTGAGGAAAAAGATGGATGAACTAACAGAAGAGACACATTTGAACATTGTTTTTCACGGTTTGATGAAGGAGACGGACTGCAGATGTGGAACTGCAGAATTTATGTTTTTAAAGCCTAAAATTGACATGACTTCACACAAGAAAATAAGAAAATTACAAGATTACAAAATTACAATCACTGAAATTACAAGGTCAAGGTTTCTTTATTATCATTCACACCTCATGTGGTACATGGGGTGGAATGAAATTGTGTACACAGGGTCCCAGTTACATCCAACAAAAGTATAAATTGTAAAGAAATACAGTAATAAGATCTAAGATATGAACTAAGAAATGCGCTAAAGCTAAGAATACACTAAGCACTAATAGTACAAACACAAAACACCGAACAACAGCAGCAGAGCATGAGTCTGTGTGAGCAGATGAGTATGAATGAACACAGCAGCATAAAATAAATCACCAGCATGAGATCAGCAACACATATCAACCATCATGCGACATTACAGTGATTTTTTTCACAGTGATAATCCTGATGAGGGATTCATGAGTTACCAGCATGTATGTATTAGTGTTTGTACTTGTTGATAATGAAGAATCATCCATCCATCCATCATCTTTATCCACTTCTTCCTTTTCGGGTCACTGGTGCCCATATCCAGCTATCACTGTGTGAGAGGTGGGGGACACCCTGGACAGGTCTGCAGTCCACCACAAGGACACATAGAGACAAACAACCATTCACTCTCTCACTCACACCTAGGGACAATTTAGAGTTACCAATCAGTCTAACATGCATGTTTTTGGTCTGTGGGAGGAAACTGGAGTACCCGGAGAAAACCCACGCATGCATGGAGAGAACATGCAAACTGCACCCAGAAAGGCCCCCAGACGAGATTCGATCTGGCGACCATCTGGCTGAGATGCAACAGCTCTACCAACTGAGCCACACAGGGGGAATTAAAGGAGCACTAATATCATCATCAACTTTATTTATAAAGCACTTTAACACAGCCATAGCTGAAACAAAGTGCTGAAATATCAGTTAAAAACAGTTTTTTTTAACAGTATAATATTAACAATTATATTTCATAATTCAGTATTGTTTGTTACTATCCACATGCAGAATTATTATATGAGTAACTTAAGTCTTAAGTAGGTAATTACTGAGATTTGACCTAAAATTGACCACAGAAAGTTTAATTGTCAGCCACAATAACCAACTGATTATTTGCCTGTACCTTAGTTGAGCTCACCTTTCTTAGGTCTATGCCAGTTATGTCCACATGAATGTCATGTCCCGTGTTATTCCAGGTTTTCTCATGTTTCTGCTAGTGAACAGATTCTTAAGAAACTTTCAGAAAGTAATCATTGTGCGGATCTACAACTGATTTACTTTTGTCATCAGACACTCTCAAGATGTTGTCAAAGCCAAGCTACCTCAGAAAACCAAACTATATAAGAGCTATAACACAGCTCAGCATCACCCTAAGGCACATTCTGGACTCTGCACATTGGGCAGCTGGAGTCATGTCTGTTGGTTAGCAAACAGTCTCATAAACAACTAAAGGAGCTTTAATGAAACTCCAGCCATCTGATCCATGATGTCATGACACAACTACAAAGTCAATCATTGATCTGGGGCCAGGATTGTCCAGGAAACCATGTAACTCATTTGCGCTGCAACCAGGCCTGGCTTCAGGGTAAGGCCTCAGGAACCCACATCTGGGCAAGGTACATCGAGCTCCTTGCTGTTTTCTGTCCATACAAATGTTTTGAACTGCTCTTTGTCTGACCTTAGCACCAGTCTGCCTTGGGAGACAGCAAAGCTTATAGGATCATTCATGTGCACAAACTCCTCCACCACAAGAAGGTGGTGATCCACAGAGGAATTCTTTACATGCTCAGAAAGTAATTCATGTTTTCATGAGATGATAACGGTTTTAATTTTATGTTTGACCCAAAAAGCAAACGGAGTGACAATCATGTGTGTTGACAGTGGACAGTTTGTCGGTTTGTTTGTTCTCCCTGAACGTGTCGTCTCCTTTTCTTGTCCTACAGCTGCCGGGGAAGAAAGACCTTTTTATTGAAGCCGACTTGATGAGTCCACTGGATCGCATTGCAAATGTGTCGACACTAAAGGTGAGCCATGTTTACTACACTTTACTTGACTCACAAATCCAGATGTTTACATACACTGCATCAGAGAGAACACAAAGCCACGCTTCTCTCACTGTTTGACTTTAAATCTGAATAAACATTTAGTTTTAGGATCTATTAGGATTCACAGATTTATTTCTATTCATTAAATGTTCAAATAATGAGAGAAATTTCATTCTAGGTCACATGTTTACATACATGCACATACACACATTACTGACATGCCACTATATTACATTACATTCATACAAGATTATTACACATTTAAACAGTTTTTGGAAGCTCAGATGATGATGTCATGGCTTTGAAAGCTTTTGATTGGTTATTTGACAACGTTTGAGTTGATGCATTGCCCCTTAATGTGGCCTCGTGGGAAAAATCAAAAAGATCAGCCAAGATATCAGGAAGAGAAACGAGTCAAATGGGTCTTCCAAAGGGACAATGCCCTTTAGTAGACTGCCAAATTAGTTACAAAGTGTCTTTAAGGACAACAACATCAGTATTTTGGAGTGGCCCAGATCTAAATCCCATAGAAAAGTTGTGGGCAGAGCAGCTGACAAACCAGACTCAGTTCTACCAGTTCTGTCAGGAGGAACGGGACAAAACTCCAGAAAACTTTGTGGGAGGAAACCCAAACCATTTAACCTGAGTCGTACAGTTTAAGGATAATGCTAAAAAATAGTAAGACAGTGTATGTAAACTTGTGACTTTAAAGACATTAATAACATGAAAAAAAATGTTCAGGGGACAGTGGTGTTCCTGCTCACGTCTTTTTATACAATAAATGTAAGCTGTTGTCGTTCTATCTCTATAAAACATTTAGTTTTTGTTTTTCAGCAACATGAAGTTGATAAACTCTACAAAGCAGAGAACAAACCTGTCATCAGTGCCTCCGATCAGTGAGTTATGAGTCTGTAGAGCAGTGTTTTACTCTGCTCAGCGTGTGTGACGGCCTCTCATCGTTGTCTTACCGTCTCCACAGGCTCTGCTTCCTGATCCGACCAAGAATCCAAACCGTCCGGTGGATCTGTGGTGAGTTTTCTGTTTTAATCTTCCCTTAACAGCACTTCTGAACCATACAAACATGAACACTCCAGCCACTTAGTCACAGTTTGAAACAAGTTAAACAAATGTTTCCTTATGTGAAATGAACTTTTTATAATTGTTAATGCACATACTCAAAGTTAGTGTTTGCAATGCATTGTGGTCTAGATATAGTGACGCTTACTTCAACATCTAATCAACCTGTATTTGTTGTTTGTGTGTATTCATTACTATCACTGACTGTGGCCTCTGTATCTGATGAAAAATATTAGAAATTATTCTTAAGTTTTGGCGACATGGTGGTGCTGTTGGTAGAGGTGTTTCCTCTCAGCGAGAAGGTTGCCAGTTTGAATCCCAGCTGGGGTCTTTCTGGGTGGAGCTTGCATGTTCTCTCCGTGCATGTGTGGGTTTTCTCCAGGTACTCCAGTTTCCTCCCACAGACCAAAAATATGCATGTTAGACTGATTGGTAACTCTAAATTGTCCCTAGTTGTGAGTGAGAGAGTGAACGGCTGTTTGTCTCGTTTGTCTCTGTGTCCCTGTGATGGACTGTAGACCTGTCCAGGGTGTCCCCCACCTCTCACACAGTAACTGCTGAATATGGGCACCAGTGACCTCCATGACACGAAAAGCAAGAACTGGGTAAAGATGATGGATGGATGGATGGATGGATAAGTGGATGGATGGATGATGGATGGATGAGTGGATGGATGAATAGATGAGTGGATGGATGAGTGGATGGATGAATTCTTAAGTTTGATGTTTCCTCTTTGATCCACGTTCAGTCTGAACTGTGTTCATCTTCCTGTTTCAGCTGCTCTTCAGTCATTCTGACACCATCACACTGAGAATATTTCCTCCTTTACTTAAAATACCAGTAAAATCAATTTATAGACATTTGTATATAAAAGTCAATTAAAAAGCAAATATAACAGACTAAAATACTAGAGCTGGACATAGATCCTGGATACAGGAAATAGCTATAAACTTTTTTGATCATCTGGTGCTTGATTATTTCCTTGCATGAATTAGTAACTGTAAAAAGGTCTCCACACTATAGCTTTTCTTTTTAGTGTTTTTTCTGTACATTTTTCTTTTATCAAGCTATTTCTACATACTTAGTGCTATTTGAACCTAAGTCCAAGGCTGAGGTAGCTCGAATGGTTATACTTCAAATACATCCTAGATTCTGTCTATTTGAAATAAGAGTACTTTTATTCTTGCAGGAAGGAACAACCACTGAACACACTAACGGTACAGATGATGTTCCGGTACAGACGATGTTACGGTACAGACGATGTTACGGTACAGACGATGTTACGGTACAGACGATGTTACGGTACAGACAATGTTCCGGTATAGACGAGGTTACGGTACAGACGATGTTACGGTACAGACGATGTTCCGGTACAGACGATGTTATGGCGTTACAGTGCACACGATGTTACAGTACAGATCCAAAAGAAACACAGTGAGACCTCTTCAGTGTTTTCTTTAAAATCTGCTTCAGCGTCTTTGCTGTTTTTGTCTTCTCTGCTACTTTTAACCTTTAGCTGTCGCTTTGATTTTAAGCTATTATTTTATTACTTTTAACTAGAGCCCGACCGATATATTGGTAGGGCCGATAATTTAGGCCTATATTGAAGTTTTGGGACCTAATCAGTATCGGTGATAATTATTCCATTATGTGCCTGTATAAGCGCTTCTTATTTTCACCCCTAAAATGCTGTGAACCAGCCATAATTGTACAATGTGTCCAGCAGAGGGCACATGAAGACTACTTTCAAGTCATTGCAGTTCATTAGCTATGTTTACATGGACATAAGTAATCGGTTTAAACGGCCATTCGGAATAAAAATGCGTCATGTAAACGCCCCATTCTGATTATTTTTTGTTTATTCAGCTCGATCAGAAAGAATTTGTAATCAGAATGAGACGGGTGGTTTATGCCGATTCATAATCCGAAAGGTGTGCATGTAAACACTTAGTCTGTTCATTTTTTTCCAATCGTGAAAAACTGAACAGACTGCGCATGCGACCTATGCCATTTCTGCCTGGCTAATGCTAATAATATTAGCATGTCGGGGGAAGCAAAACTGGTTGGTGAGCAACACAACATTTTTACTAGAAACTTTGAGAGAGCTCAAAATGATCTGTATTACCTGTAGCTCAATCAGGGAGTGCAGTAACGTCTCCACTGTCATTAAAACCTATTGCAGGTCCATTTTGGGTGCTCAGGTTTGTTTACGTTCATCTTGGAAGTAAACTGGAAGTAGAACTTCGTTTACCACTCTGTGCATGTCAGTACTTCTGTTCAGAATAAAAGCCCGCTGCATGTAAACGCTTGTCATGAACGGATTGTGCCCATGTAAATGATACATTTGAATTATTTAATCTGAAAACATTTCAATCTGGTCAAAGAAGTTTGTGCATGTAAACACAGCTACTTAAGTTTCACTTTCACGTTCAGCACAGCCAAAGCAGTGAGCACTTCACAGTATTCAGTGTAGTGTATTTTGCTGTAACAGAGCATGGTAAGTTTATTTTAACTGATCTGTAAAAGTAATCAACAATAAATTATCTTCAATCCTTTAGCCCGCTTGTCATTAACTACGTGTCCCTCAAGTTATCAAGCTAACGTTAGTGTTCAGTTGCACCAATGTCACAACCGTTGTCAGTAGTTACAGCAACGAGTCCTGTCGGACTGAGCTTCAGTTTGTGAGGACATCCATTGTTAGTAACGTTATCTTTGTCATCGTCAATGAAATGCATCATTTTTCTGAAATCTTTACTTCTGTACAAAGAAAAATAAAATCTGCTGTGGTCAATACTAATTAGACCTTCACCATACGTGACTGACTGTTTAAACAGTGAAAAAGGAAGGATGTTTCTTTGTTTAATTTATTTATTTTTAACACTTGATAACTTAATGGTGAATAGTGGATGATAGAAAATGTGAACGCACATTAGGAAGACTGTTTTTATGACCAGTGCACCACTTGTAAACCAACTGTGGGTCTAAATATAGTGTAGATCTGATTAGCTTAGCCTCGTGGTTGCTAACAGCTGCGCTAAATAAACAAGCCCTGCTCCACTCGCTGTTTTCTTAGATTCTTGGGGGTGGACAAAGTAAAAAAAATAATTCAGCCGTTATATCGGTTATCAGCATTAGTCTTCCTCACCCAGTATCGGTATCGATAGCCAAAATTTCCAAATCGGTCGGGTTTTACTTTTAACGACTGTTCAGCTACTTTTAGGTTTTAGCTTCCATTCTACTAATTTCTGTTTTGCTATTTTTAGCTGCTGTTTTGACAATTTTAGCTTTAGCAACTCTCTTACCTATTGAATAGTTGGTTTTGACTGTCAGCAGCAAACTGGTTGATCCACTAGTAGAAGGTGCTGTTTATAAGACTGAACTTCAGTCTGAGACAAGATCTCAGACTGAAGAAGTCATCTGGATAAAAGAGGAGACGTTTCAACAAATAAGAATCCGTCCAGATGACCTGACTCAACCTTGTTCAATTTATCTACCTGGATTATTGAGCATGGATCAGGACATCTCTTACCTATTATATTTCTTGTTCTGCTTTTTTAAGCAAGTGTCAGCTGTTCTGCTTCTTTTAGCTTTTAGCTTGTGTTCTGCTAAGTTTAACCTTTGTTTAGCTCCTTTTAGCTTCTTGAACAGTCATTCAGCACGCAACATCCACGCTGCATTTTTCTACAACAGTAGTCTGGTGAAAACTTCTGATAGATGATCTGAAGGATTAATTTATAGATGAAAGCTTCGTACACATCCTGTTCTGAAGTGACATGATTCGAGCTGTGACACCAGATGTGTTTACTAACTACATTCACAACATACAGTCGTCATATAGTTGTCATACAGTACACAACATGCAGTTACAGCAGTCATGTCTATTGGGGCTCAGTTGGTACCAGGAGCTGAAAACCAAGTAGGAGGAGGATAATCATCATCATCATCCATCCATTTCAGCTTTTCAGTTTCTCACCTTTATGTGGGACCACATCATCCCTCCTGTCTCCAGGCTGACTTTTAACAACCCTCAGGAGTGAGAGAAGAAACAGTGATTTGCATGTGAGTTCAGTTTACATAAATGGAGAAATGTCTCTGCAGTTCTGATTGGAATGCTGATCTTCACTGTGAACTGAGAAAGCCCCTCAAAGGAGTAGCCAAAAGTCTTCCAAAAACAAATAAGAAGTCCTAAAAACATTGTTTACGGTTTGTTGTGTCCTGGATGACTGAGGATCTACACAACAGCCTCAGTGTTCCTCAGCTGCCGTGAGTCAGACGTTCTTGGTGTGGTTCAGTGTGCTCTGTGTTTGGAGAGGGTTTCTGCATACCTTGGTTCTCAGAAGTGGCTGCTTGAGGTCCGGCTGCCGTTCCAGCTCAGACCTAGTGGGCCTGTCCTCACTGTCCTGCTCTCAACAAGGTTCTGTCATTCTGAACTGTAACTTGTTCTCCTCAAACTTAAACACAGTTTTGTCTAAAATGTGACCAGTAGACCCAGCGATGCCAATAATATACCACTGATACTCCACTGACTGCTGCAGATCCTCCTGGACAGTGTCAGCATGCTGAAACTGAACCGGCTTTAGTGCTGCTGGCTGATGTTTCTCACACATGCACCCTGTCATTCCAGATGTGGTCAACGCAGACAAGGCAGCAGGAAAATTTAGAAGATACAAAATAATTTTCACCCCCCAAAAGGTACGTCGTCCTCTCCTAATGAATAAACTCAGGCTTGTTTTGAATACGCTATTTATAATTTTATTTTGATCAGTTGAGTTGGCATTGATTCACATCAAACATCAACACAAATACCTTTACAGAAAAAATAAAATACATACACATGAATGAAACAGTCTAAATTAAGTTAATTAATCCAGTTCAATCAATTAATCCAATTCATTCAGCACTGTTTAAATTCATCGTATCAGTATTTGATTAAAATGTCTATTAATCACCATTTACCAGCTTCTTTTTGATGTTTCATGTCCAGTTCTACGCCTGTGATGCTGTGCTGGAGGAGCAGGGGATTTTTGGTGGTGAGCTTCTTGTCTTTTAGACGTTGGGTTTCAGAAACCATGAACAGTGCCAGTGACCGTTGAGTTTGTTTCTGTCCTCCACAGACGTGACCACAGACGAGTGGGCTTTCTACCTCCTTCCACTGGATGATGACATCATCAGTCTAGAGCTTCCCGAGTTCTTTAGAGACAACTTCCTGGTAAATTAGGACGTGAAATAAGGTTGAAACCCATAACCAGTCAGTGACTTTTAAAAATTGGAAATTATTTTAATGATTTATTGCTGTTTAAACTCCCTTTTTGTGCTTTTCCCTGCTATTCGTATTGTGGACTTTTTCCTGATACATTTTCTTGTCTTTGTTTTCCTGCTGTAGTTTCCCTCTTTTTTTTATAACAGTCAGACCTTACAACGTTAGTTTTATTTCTGTATCTACCGAGATATTTGCTCGGTGTTTATTATAGATACAGTCAATATTGTGGAACTCACAACAGACAGACGTACCACTGTGGACAATTTTTTTTAGTTAAAGAAAACCACGAGGGTCATTGAAATAAGTTGAAACAGACAAATGTGGTATAAAAAAATACTAAAAGCTTTGTCAAAACCAGACATCACTTTTAGTTTTGTTTCAACAGAAATATTTGAAACAAAAACCCCAAAACAAACAAAAAAAGAAGAAGAACAAATGAACTGTCCTTGACAGAAAAGATGGTACTCCTAGAAAACATTTGAACTAATTTGTCCACAAGGACAGTTTAAACCAATGTCTGTCCTGTAATCATGCTGGGGGAGTAGTGGCACAGAGGTTAGAAGATGGGCCTGTGATCGGAAAGTCGCAGGTTCAACTCCCGGTACCGTCAACATCAAAATGTGGGTGGAAAAGGTGGAACACTCACACCTCCCTCCACCGTCATTCGCCCGTCTCTGGGCCCCTGAGCAAGGCCTTTTACTCCCACCATCTGTTCCCTAAACAGGTCTCTCTTGAAAATGAGTTCTCGTGGCTCAATGAGACTACCTGGATAAATAAAGGCTAAATGAAATAATAAAAAAAAAAAAAGAATGTGAGGTGTCTTCAGTCTGTAGTTACTCAGTCTGTCTGTTTAAAGGGTGAAAGGTAGTCACAGGGCTGTTTGGTGTCATGGTGTGCAACACACTGAACATGGACCACAGGAAGCTGAGGACAGAGTTGTCTCAGGAGCTTAGAGAGACAAATGAATGAGCAGCAAGTTAAAGGTAAAGACTAGAACACCATCTCCAAGCTGCTGGATGTTCTTCTGACTACCTCAAGGCCTAAAGACATCTGTGTCAGATCATACCAATGCTCACTATTTGAGCCAAAGTGGACTTGCTGGAAGATGACCGAGGACCACATCAAATCATAAAAGAGACAGACTGGAATTTGTCAAAATGTATATTGAGAAACCACAAAGCTTCTTGGAGGAAGTCCTTTGAACGTCCATCCATCCATTCTCTTTTACCCTCTTCTTCCATTTTGGGTCACGGGGGTCGCTGGTGCCCATGTCTAGCAGTCACTGTGCGAGGGGCGGGGTACACCCTGGACAGGTCTCCAGTCCATCACAGGGACACATAGAGACAAACGAGACAAACAGCCATTCACTCTCTCACTCACACCTAGAGACTGTTTAGAGTTACCAGTCAGCCTAGCATGCATGTTTTTGGTCTGTGGAAGGAAACCGGAGTACCCGGAGAAAACCCACGCATGCACGGAGAGAACATGCAAACTCCACCCAGAAAGGCCCCTGGACCAGGATTTGAACCAGGGACCTGCTCACTGAGAGGCAGCAGCTCTACCAGTTGCACCACCGTGCTGCCTGTCCTTTGAACAGATGAGAAAAAAAACAAAACTAGAACTTTTTGACAACAAGTTCCATCAGCTCTGTTTTCATAGACCTAAAAATGTAGTACCTACAGAGGAACCAAGGAGGCTCAGTTCTGTTCTGGGGTTGCTTTGCTGCATCTGACAAAAGGCATCTTGACTCGGTGCAGGTTACAATGAAATCCTAAGACTATCAAGACATTCTGGAGCAAAACGTTCTGCCCTGTGTCAGAAATCTTGGTCTCAGTCTCAGGTCATGGGTCCTCTAACAGGATAATGACCCAAAACACACACACGGACACACAGAGACACAGTTAAAACACCAGAAATGGATCAGAACCAAACATTAACCTGAAGTGGTCTTCTGAGCCCTGATCTAACTCATGTTGAACATCTGTGGAAGGTACTCAAACATCTGGAGAAAGAACCCTTCAAATCTGAGACAGCTGGAGCAGTTTGTTCATAAGGAGTGGACCAGAACACCTGTGGACAGGTGGACCAGAACTTCTGTGGACAGGTGGACCAGAACACCTGTGGACAGGTGGACCAGAACACCTGTGGACAAGTGGAGAAGATTCAGAAAGTGGTGGAGAAAATATTTGATTTCAAGGATTGATCAAAAGGTTGTGTAACTAAATAAAAAGTTAAGGGTTGCATCCTGATGTGTGCTAAATAGTCTAGGTAGAAAAATCTAACAAAGTTAAGTCAGGTCCTCTGGATTCTTCTTTGTTGGAACATTTTGTCTTTTATCCAAAAGACTTCTTCAGTCTGAGGAGCTGCAAATAACTCAGTCTTATAAATAGCACCTTCTCATAGTGGATCAACCAGTTTGCTGCTGACATCCAGAACTAGTTGTTCACATGATAAAGAAGGACCATCAGCCTAACAATGGATCATTAGCACCCTGATGGCTGTTTACTATTCACAGGAGGCTGAGTGATACTAGCAATCACAGCATTGTAAGAGGGGACAGTTGAACCCGGAGGCCTCCACCCCTGTTTAATGATGGACGATTTCTTTTCACAAAGATGGCCTCCTTTACTCCTCTCTCAAACCATCGTTCCTCTCTGTCCAGGATGTGAACATCTTCATCCCTGAAAGAGTGACCGCTGGCCTGGAGATGAGTGTAGACCGCAGAGTCCTGGTCTGATGATGTTGCTCTTCTGACCTGGTCCATCCTTTTGGCCAGTGGCTGTTTAGTTTCCCTGATGTTAGACTGATCACCCTCCTGACACTGAACAGCATACACAATATCATTGGATCTTTGTGATGAACCAGTCTTTGCTGTAATGTATTTTGGGGTTTAAAAGCCACTGGGACGTTGTGTTTAGAAAATAAACGTCTCAGTTTCTCTGATACTCCCTCAACATATGGAATGACCTCTGGTCTGGGTCTGGGTTTCTCCTTTTCACCTGATGTCTGACTGGAGTCCTGTTTGGGTTTCTTCTCTGCTTTCAGGAAGGCCCAGTTAGGATATCCAAGAAGCCGAAACGTTTTAAGAAAGAAGAACCCGTCCAGAGGACCTGACTCAATATTGTTAGAAAAGGGTAGCATCCATTTAGTCAAAGGCCCGTTTCATTTGTTTTTGAATTATCATAGTTTAATTGAAGCTCCTGGTTGATGTGAATAAAAGATAAATACATTTAATTTGCTCTAAAATAATCTGAATAAGTTAATTATATTCTGATATATAAAAAAGTTTATGTTTAAGATTTGCAAAATTCACTCATTCTGGTAAATTGATTATACTTTTTCTACTTAAACTTTCAGATTGTTTTTTAGGTTTTTAGTTATTGTTTGACCTTGTTTCAAGGACAACATGTAACTTTGCCCCTCAGTAAGAATATTTATTGGTTTCTGACAATTTAATCTGATAATAATTCTTTTATAAATCTAAAACCAGACGTCCAAGAGAATATTGTGGACAAGAACACAGCAGATAATAGTTGTGAGGATTGCTAGTCACTTACTCATGGTCTGTATATGTGAGTTAGTAATCTCCACTTCAGCTGGTCAGAAAAATGACACCAAAATGAAAGTGAAATTCTCCCAAAGATTGGTAGATATTGGTAATCGGTGTTCAGTATCCCAGTCAATGGTTTGCCCTCTACAAATGAAGGTTTTGTTTGAAGAGCGTGTCTTCAGTCAAAGTAAAACTTGTGTTTTTACAGGCAGGGGACCAGCGATGGGTGAGGACGGCTGGGAGCGCGCTGCACCTCCTACATTCCCTTTATGGACCCTTCTCAAAGATCTACGGCATCGGGCGCTGTTCTAAGGTGCGCAGTGACCAGGCACCAGAGAACCGCTCTGATGTACGAGCTAAAGTTTCTGCTTCTGTTTCTCTGCCTCCAGATGGCGTACGAGTCGTGGAGGAAGCAGGTGGAGGAGGGAGAACAAAAACCTCGACAAGCTGAAATTGGGAACGTTTTTCTAATAGATCGAGGTGAAGACCCACAGAGGCTTGCTGCTATCTGCTTGATTTCAACACTAAGGATACGGGATATGGTTTCTTTATTGTCATTCTCATCACATGTGGCACATGTGGTGGAACAAAACTGTGTACTGTACCCACTAACACTCTTGTGTGGTTTTTTTTCAGATGTGGATTTTGTCACTCCTCTCTGTTCACAAGTTGTCTATGAAGGGCTTGTAGATGATATATTTAAAATCAAATGTGGTGAGTGTTCCCACTCAGTTAACTGTCAACAAAAAGATGTGACTGCCCTTGTTTTGTTGCTTCGAAGAAATAAAAATCTTTCTAAAGCATTGCTATTGAAGTGTAGCTTGCATACAGAGATGCTGTGAATAAGTTTTTTTAGGGTGCATTCACACTAGCCCTGTTTAGTCTGCTTTAATCGAACTCTAGCTCGTTTTCCTAGAAAGTCCGGTTCGTTTGGGGAGGTGTGAACGCGCCATCGAACTCTGTCACGGAACAAAAAGGCGAACTCTGGCCCGGGCTAAAACCTAGGTCTCAGTCCGGTAGAAGCGAACTCCAGCGCGGTTCGAGTGCAGTGTGAATGTAAACAGACCGGGCCCCGCTCCACAAGCAAGAAGTGGAGTACAGCGCAGGGCAAACAAACGCGCATTTCTCTTACCTTATATGGAGCCGTCAGCTGCCTTGTGTGAAAAACAATATTCTCCATGGTCTTCTGTCTCATCTTCTGCTCGTGCTGAGTCCATTTTTGAAAAATTACAAAATATAACTCCTAAAACTGCTAAAACTTGATGCCACTCCGTTTTTGTTTTTATTTACAGAAGAAGAAGAAGACATGTCTTCAGAGGTTTTTGTGTTGTTTCTTTCAGTAGTTCTTGGTGCAGCGCCCCCACAGGCGAGCGGGGGAACAAGTTGGTTCAACAGGTTGACTCGACTGCACAGTGCAGTGTGAATGCAAATGCACCAGCTCAAATGTAATAATAATAATAATGAATTTAATTTGTAACGCACTTTTCATTAACAAAAATCTCAAAGTGCTAAAACAAAATGTCATGAATGTTGGTCCCCAACCGAACCGAGTCTACTGGACTATCAGGTGTGAATGCACCCTTACATTTCATCCAAATCACAGGGCTGCTCAGTGGTTAAGCATCATAGCCTTATAATCCTAGGGCTGCCAGTTCAAACCCAGGTTGTGTCAGGAACGGCATCCATTTTAAAACCATTGCCAAATCTTTCCTGTGAGTTCACTTGCTGTGGCAACCCCTGCAGAAAGGAGCAATCACAATATAGTTTAGACACTTGTCAAGTCAGCTTAAAGGCTTCTGTTGTCTTGTTGCATTTTGTTGAGCTCATTTCGCTGAAGGTGAATAAGCTGAATAAAAGGGGCAGAAGATTCGGAGCTGAGGGGGTGTTTGTCATTTCATGGTGGTAAAAGAGCATTTAAACCCAGTTTCTGCCTGCATTCTTCTGCATTACTGAGACACGTGGACAGCTCTGACACACACGTCTGCTTTGGGATACACCTGTTGTCGGGAATGCGCAGCTGGAAAAAAAGGTGCATAAGATTCAGAGCTGAAAGGTGTTTGTCCCTTCATGGCCCTAAAAGAGCATTTAAACCGTGATTCTGCCTGCATTCTGATTTATTCAGACATGGACCCTGCTTTGACATGTCTTCTTTGGGATCTCACCTGTTTGGGTCGTCAGCTGTGCACATCCACTGAGAGCAGCGAATGAATGAACGTCCATTTGGGTGATGGATTGCTTCCTGGCAGTATAGGCCCATCTGAAGCTTAACTGAACTTTTTACCTCTTTCAGGGTCGGTCAGCTCGCGGTGAAATGGCTGCGTGCCGCTGGTGGATGTATAGCAGGCCATGTTATCATATAATTAGATTGAGGCTGATCTTGACCTAATTAAAAGCCCGACCCGGCCCGCCCATCCAGCACATTATCATAGCTCAGCCCACCCTGAATTCGGGTCAGGTGAGGCCGGGCTTAGGGTTCGGGTTAGAAATGACAGCTCTAGTTTGCGTCTCGATGGTGTTTGCGTCTCGATGGTGTTTGCGTCTCGATGGTGTTTGCGTCTCGATGGTCCTTGCGTCTCGATGGTCCTTGCGTCTCGATGGTCCTTGCATCTCGATGGTCCTTGCGTCTCGATGGTCCTTGCGTCTCGATGGTCTTTGCGTCTCAATGGTCTTTGCGTCTCAATGGTCTTTGTGTCTCGATGGTGTTTACATCTTCATGGTCTTTGAGTTACAATGGTGTTTGTGTCTCAATGGTGTTTACATCTTCATTGTGTTTGCGGCTCAGTGGTCTTTGTGTCTCATTGGTGTTTGTGTCTTAATGGTCTTTGTTTCTCTATGGTATTTGTGTCTCGATGACTTTTGTATCCATGTCTCATGGCAGCATTTTTATTCTTCAGGATGTGTGGAGTTTGGACCTGATGTTACCTCGTCTGATAAAAGTGTGAAAGTCATGTTGAACTCCCAGGATAAGGTAGAACTGAAATCAGAGCAGAATCCTCCTTACTGCTGTGGTTTTTAACTTAAACATCTGGTTGGATGCTTTTGTTCCCGCAGGTGTTCAGTGAAATCAGAAATGAGCATTTCTCCAACGTCTTCGGGTTTCTCAGTCAGAAAGCCAGGAACCTCCAGACTGCATATGATGTAAGTCAGAACTTCTTGAATGAAACTTTATATGAATTTGTACCACCACTAGACGGTGCATCGCAAAATCTTTTCATCAACTCAGCTCTAAAGTCGAGGTCACAAATCAAGGTCAAAGTTTATGCAAGGTCTTTTCTTGTCAGGGCTATTGCCGTATATTGCTGTATAATAATTTGTCGATGGATGTGTAATGTGCCGTCCATGGTGCTCTTGTTAATTCTTGTTCTCTTGTCTGCAGAAGCGTCAGGGGATGGATATAAAGCAGATCAAGGCATTTGTATCAGAGGAGCTCAAGGGCTTGAAGCAGGAGCATCGGCTGCTTAGCCTACGTGAGAGCTGCGCCACATCATACGCATTACATATTTGTAAATACACATTGCTCAAGAGTATTTTGTCTTTCAGACATCGGTGCCAGTGAATCTATAATGAAGAAGAAAACAAAGCAGGACTTTCAGGAGCTGTTGAAGACTGAACACTGTAAGATGTAGTTTGTATCTCTGCGTTGGCTTCAGGTGATGGAGCCAGAACCCAACTTTCTGTGCTCTAGAGCTGAAAGTTCCTGACTTGATAACAGAGTTCCTGTAGAAATATTCAGATTTCTGTTGTTTGATTTAGTGTGGAGGTTTATGTACCTTAGGAATAAGATAAAAATAATATGACTCCACCACGCAGACATTAGACACTGGCCTGTGTGCTGGTGTTGGAGGTCTTTTATTTTCACCAAATCAACAGTATCTGAAAGGTTTTTGTTTATTAAAAGCAAGGAAAGATGTGACGTTAGGACCTGCTGATCGTTGTCTGTAGATCAAGTTCTATTTCGTATAGGCTTCGCCCTTTAAGGCTGTCGCTGATGGGTTTATCCCGATATGCAAAGCATTGCACTGAAAAATTTAGTCTATGCCCACCTGTTGTGTGGGTCCCACCCGGTCCGTATAAATGACGTTAAGAGCGGGAAATCGGCTCCCATTTTTTCTTCAGCAAGCTAATAGCACTGTCAGAAGAACGAAGAAGAAAAGTTGTGTAGATGACCAATCTTTGTTAAGAATGCTTGGCCCGTCACGTCGTCCTCCGGTCGTCCGGTGAGCTCTCCTCCCCGAGGAGAAGCTGACGAGCAGTTTTGTTTCAAGGTAAGCGCCGAGGAGTATTTCTCAGTGACAGGTCGCTACATGCTGGACAACGCCATTTTGCAATTTTCCTCTTATCGCCGACCCTCGGAGCGAATCGGATGGTTCCTCCGGGACAGGCGGCGCTCAGCTGCAGCCCCCCGCTGCTCATTCCCTCCTGGAGAGTGTAGTGTCGGTGGAGGGTGGCTGAGCGAATGCTCACCTCATCCCACCTCGTTTCACATTGGCGATCACACTGCTCCCGGCCGACGGCGCCCTCTGGGGTTGCCCGGCGTAACCCAGGAGGCGGCTGACATGAAGGGACCCTTTTTTACGTCCCACGCCTTTCCCGCCAGTTCGGATAATCCGGCGGGAAGGTTGTTTTTTCTAGATTCCAGTCCGGCTCACCGTCCTGATCCATCTGGCCTCTTTTTCCCAACAGGACGTCCTACGGGCGAGGCCACAGCCGGCTTTCCTGGTAGATTGGGGGGCCGGTCTCCACAGTCTGCACCCATCTCCAGAGCAGGGGTTCACCAAGCGGAAATTCCCTCAGTGCCCCCTGGAGCCGAGCCTGACGGAGGCTTCATCGGAGCAAGATGTCCAGGTGGACCATCGTCCCGTGCCTCCGGTTAGCGTAACCCAGACAGTGACACCGCTCTCCAACTGAGCTCACCAGCATGCGTTCCAGACGGCCGCAGCGAACAACACGTTACGCTGTTGGCGTACACGTTCAGAGGCGGGAAGAGACGGTGGGCCCTCTGACCTTCGGCTCGCTCCGCTCTCGTCGCGGCTGTTCGCCAATGACGCTGTCGGCCCCTGCAGTACGCTCCGTCTGCAGGGAAGCTGACGTCATCCCCAACCGGTACGCCTCTTTTGTTGTCTGCCGCCCCGCATCGCAGCCAGAGAACGAGGTCCCAGAGGTTCTCCTGGCTCATCACTCCACCTTCCTCTCAGGAGAGCTGCAGAAGCTTTTGTTGGAGGGCCTTTCATCAGCGAGAGATCATTTCAAGATGCTCCAAGGCTGCACAACGCCTCCCAGCTCTGCTACGCCAGCCCCTCCCGTCAGACGTTCTCGGCATCCGGAAGTTCAATTTTTCCCGGACTCCGCCAACAGGGTGCTCTCTAGGGCAACAAACAGAGCTCAGGGGAAGATAACCAGGTGTCGGTTTGCTGGAGGTGTGTTGATGACAGGATGTGGAATAAGCATCATTTTATGATGAAGTGTCTTTTAGCCAGGCTGTCAGCACGGATGATCTGACAGCGGCCCCATCACACACACTCATCACGAATGAGCCTTTTAAGGTTGTTTCATTCACTGCCAGCGGTGCCAACACGCGCTCCCGCGGCACGAGCAGCCTTCACCTATAAGGCGCTGCGTTATGAAAGCGCGCGCGCAGCTCTCAGCGCCCGCAGTTCACGTCAACGTTAACGTGAGACTGCGGTACGAGCCCAGTAACGTATCTCGCTCTCGGCAGGAGCAACACGCGTTTTCATCGCAGTGGTGTCAAACGCACGCTCCTGCGGCGTCAACAGTTTCACAAGCCTCACAGCAGCTCCGCTCCTTCATCCTCGAAGAAGGTTTTCTGAATTAATACTGCAGCTCGTGGAATCACTCAAAAGCTCACGTGATTCGCAGCCAAGAATGAACGTGTTCGGCAGAATGAACCCAGTGGTAACCTCGCTCCACCGATGCTGCGCGCTGCTTCCTGACCGCACCAGCGTCAAACGCACGCTCCCGCTGCAATCCTCGCTTAAGGCGTCGCATGAATGAGGCGTGCACACACGACTCTTCAGGGCACGTCGGCTCATACGTGCACCCGCTCCCCGAGCGTTTACACAGAGCTTCTGCACACAACGTCAGCACAACACAGATGAGTTGCGTCCCGCAGCATCAGCAAACGCACAACGATTTGCATGCTCGGGGGCGCGCGTTTTTTCTTTCTCCTTCAGCGCGCACCAGCTCACATCAGCATGCATGTGAGTTCACAGCATCAACGCGTGCCCACTTGATAACTTTATAACGAGTGACAATGAGCGCGCGCTCCAGACGGATAGGCGAACCGTTTTCATCCGGGGATTCACGCTGCAGTACAGCTCAAACCCCGGTGCGGAGGAACTCTAATGATGTTTTCTGTCATTTCTAGAACAGATCTCGTCCCCTCTCGCAGAAGCTCAGGAAATTCTGATTAAAATGTAATTTCCAGAGTCTCAGAAGGAGAGGAAAACGCAGGGTTCCTCTCTCGTCACTCCCTGGTCCCAACAAACCGGAAAGATGAGATTTCTTTTAGATTTTTCAATTTTGAACTAAGAGAAACAACATTCCATTAATGCGCCCGAGCCGCTCTGCAGCCACCGCACAGAGCAGGGAGGAGGATTCTGCTTTATCTGGACATCTGCTCCTGCTGAGCAGTTTGTACAGACAGGTGGCAGCAGTGCAACTCACGTGAACCGGTTGAGTGATATCAGCTGTTTCCATCAGCAGACCTACGTCACACATGTCAGACTTCACAGAGGCACACGCATTTAACGAGCTGTGGGGGCACTGTGGTTCTCCACACCCAGCTCATTTAAATGTTTTTGGAGTGTCACACGGGGTTTTTGAATGTGATTCAACACTTTGCCTCTGAGCTGCAGAATCATCAGGGTTTTTGATTCACACAGACAGCAAGTGACTGTTACATACATAACTGGCAGGAGATGTATGCGCTCAACCCATGTGCCACATTGTGAGACAGATGCTGTGTGGGGCACACCCAATCTGCTCTCCATTGGAGTAGGGTACATCTCCTGTATTCTGAACAGGGGACGGATATGATGTCCAAAGACGGTCCTTTGCGGCACGGGGACCTGGGACCTTCCACCCAGAGATATGGCTCAGACGCGGCAGAAATCCTCGAGCGGCTGTGGACCTGTTGCAACACGAGAGAACACTTGATGTCAACTATAATTATCATGGAGCCACGGGACAATCCACCACTAGGGGTGGACGTGTCTGCTCACAGCCTGTGGTCGTAATGCTTCTTCACCTCCCTCTCTCCCTCTGATATCACGGTTTTCTGAACCGAGCTCAGGAGGAGGGACTGACGGCTCCTCTGTCCCAACTGCGTGAACGCATCATGGTTCCCAGGCCTACGACACTTGTTATCGGGGCGCTCTTGGAACCTGCCGTGGAGGGAGGACGCTCTCCTCCAGGCGGGAGGAGCGATCAGGAGTTAATCAGAATAGGCCAGCACCTGTGGTCTGGCCACTGTGCAGATCCGTTTGAGAGTATGGATCTCTCTCAAGATGTAGTGTGTACAATTCAGGATTCACGTGCTGCAACCACCACAGCGCTGTTCACATCAAGTGGTCAGTTTTTCAGCACTGCTGTACAGAGAAAGGTGTAGAGGCCATTTCATGTTCACTAGGTGGTGTGCCGTCCTTTCTGCAGCAGCTGATGGACAGAGATCTGGCGTTCAGCTCGTGTAAAACGTTCACTGCGGCCATCTCTTCCTGTCACAAAATTTTCGAGACAGAACAGTTTTAATCATTCGCTGATGAAATGTTTTGTAAAAGGTATACAGAGAAGGCGTAGAGGCCACTTCATGTCCACTGGACGACATGCTGTCCTTTTCTGCAGCAGTCGATGGACAGAAATCTAGTGTCCAGCACGATTATCGTATGCTGCATCCATGTTTTCTTCTTGTCTCAAAGTTGTCGGAGACAGAACAACCTTTAATCATCCTCTGACGGAGCATTTTGACTCGGATTGAAATAGCAGCTGTGGGCCGTTTGCGTCACGAGAAAACGCTCAGTGTCAATTATGGTTTTCTCTGAGCCCGCGAGACAAACCACCGCTGGGGCGGATGCGTTTGCCCACAGCCCATGGTCCAAAATGCTTCTGTACGCGTTTTCCTCCACCTCCTCTGATTTTACGGTTCCTGAACCGAGTTCAGGAGGAGGGATTGACAGCTCTCCTGGTGGCCCCCGAACGCGTGAGCGCACCATGGTTCCCGGTCCTGCAACGCCTGCTGTCGGGGCGCCCGTGGAAACTGCCGTGGAGGGAGGACGCTCTCCTCCAGGCAGGAGGAGCGACCAGGAGTTACCCAGAAATAGGCCAGCACCTGTGGTCTGGCCGCTGAACGGATCCGCTTAGAGAGGATGGGTCTCCCACAGGATGTATTGCACACAATTCGGTTTCACGTGCTGCATCTACCACAGCGCTGTACACATCAAAGCAGACAGCTTTTCAGCACTGGTGTACAGAGAAGGGTGTAGAGGCCACCTCATGTCCACTAGGTGGCATGCTGTCCTTTCTACAACAGCTGATGGACAGAAATTTGGCGTCCAGCACGATTAAAACGTACGCTGCAGTCATCTCTTTCTGCCACGAAGGGTTCGAAGACAGAACAGTTTTTAATCATCCGCTGATGAAGTGTTTTCTAAAATGTGTACAGAGACGCAGGCCTGTTTCACGCCCACTTGTTCCACAGTGGGATTTAACGCTGGTCCTGCAGGCTCTGATCAAAGCTCCATTTGAGCCTCTGGATCAGGTTCCACTTAAATTCTTGTCTCTTAAAACAGCCCTGCTGCTGGCTTTAACATCCGCTAAGAGAGTGAGTGATTTATCTGCCCTCTCTGTCGCTCCATCATGTCTTAGAATTCAAGCTGACGGTAGCTCAGCTGATTTAAGACCAAATCCGGCTTTTATGCCTAAAAACATCACAAGCTCTTTTAAATCAAGAATGATATCGTTGAAGTGGTTTTTCTCCCCCCACCCCACAGATCCGAAGAAGTAGCGTCTTTTCATCTTCTCTGTCCGGTGCGGGCGTTGACATGTTACATAGCGTGCACAGCTGCAATGCGTCAAACTCAACATTTGTTTGTGCATTATAGAGATACATCTGCAGGTCGCCCGTTATCCACCCAGCGCTTGTCACACTGGCTGTGTGAGGCCATTTCTGAAGCCTACAGAGCATCAGATTTAGAGCCTCCTGTCAACCTCAGAGCACACTCGACCAGGGGTATCGCATCTTCGACTGCCTTGCATAATGGTATGATAATGCAGGACATTTTGCACTGCAGCCGCGTGGTCAACACCCTGCTCATTCATTCGCTTTTATCTACGTGATGTGACGGTTCGTCCCATGACACCTTAATGTTTACAGAATGAATATTGTTGTTTCATGGAACTCCGTTTTACTCACATCTGTCTGCATGCTTCACAGTGTGAGATGTTGTTATCAATCTCAAGTTGTGATTGTTATTTTGGTTCTATTGTCACTAATCAGTTCACGACTATTGTTACCAATCAGTTCATTTGATTAATAATCAGCTCTCCTGTTATTATTAATCTGTTTATACTGTTCAGCCGTAAACCGGTTGGTTCATGGCTCTTTTAAGCATTTTTCCCTCCCCGTTGAAGTTTCCGGGGCGTTCATGTTTTTTCAGAACGCATAGTTACACAACATGCATCTGTGCATGGCACACATAATTACGCAATGCGTAATTACGCACATGGGGAGCTGAGTGACAAGTCGTTTCTTGGGCAAGCTTCTGCTTCATACGATGTTCAAATGGACCCAGTGAGGCGAGGACCACATCCGCTTCACCCTTAACCCATCACCGACAGCCTTAAAGGGCGAAGCCTATACGAAATAGAACGTTGGTTACGTACTGTAACCCCAGATTCTATGAGTATAGGCATAGCCCTTTAAGTGTCGGGCCTCACTGGCTCCTAAATGGCTGAAGAAAAAGCTATTTTGGGAGCCGATTACCTGCTCTTAACGTAATTTATACGGACCGGGTGGGGCCCACACAGCAGGTGGGCGTGGACTAAATTTTTCAGTGCAATGCTTCGCATATCGGGATAAACCCATCAGCGACAGCCTTAAAGGGCTACGCCTATACTCATAGAATCTGGGGTTACAGTACGTAACCAACGTTTTCAGCTCATAGCTTTTAGAATATCACTTGGTGGAGTTAAAATCCTGTTTTTTGTCGCAGAGCCAAGAGGGGGGATTGGGAATACCCTCCATCTGTCTGTTTGTGCATGTTGTGAGCATGATAACTTGAATAAGTGAGATATTGATTTCCATTTTGGTGTGTTGCTGCAATTAGGTGTAAGAGAGGTCACTATCAAAAACTGGGTAGCCAAGTCTAAATCTAATAGTTCTCAATTCTGACTGACTTTCTAAGCCCAGGTCAGTAAATAAAGATGTTAAACAGTTGAGCCTCATCAGATTAGATAAGTAAACTAAAACAGAAACTGTGTGGGCTTACCTGATTTATTTTGTAGATTATTTTGTTGTGACATGTTGCTGTCTGTCTGTGCTCTCAGGTTTACTTGAAGGGTTTGAAATCAGGGAAAGTATTTCTTTCATCGAGGAGCACATAAACAGACAGGTGGGCTTTGTTGGTCACTTTTTGTCACAGTCCTGACTTTATTTATTTGTTTATTTATTTGTTTATTTATTTGTTTGCTTGTTTTCAGGTGTCAACCATTGAAAGTCTTAAGCTGCTGTGTCTTCTGTCAGTCACAGAAAATGGTGAGTTCTCTTTTGTAGTGAACCTAACCTGATGTCAAACTAAGCCTAAGGTCAAAACACTTGACCTTAAGAACCTTGTGGGACAGAAACTGTTATTTCATTGATCTGCATCCAGAAATACAGTTTGA